CACTTCAGGAGGCCAAGACAGATGGATTGCTTGAACCCAGGTATTTGAGACCAGCCTGGGCAAAATGGTGAAACTTGTCTCTACCAAAAATTGCAAAAATTGGCTGAGCACGGTGGCATGCACCTATAATCCCTGCTACTTGGGAGGCTGAGGTGGGAGGATCCCTTAAGCCCAGGAGTCCAAGGCTTCAGTATACTGAGATCTGCACTCTGGCCTGGGCAACAGAGTAAGACCATGTCTTAAAAAAAACAAAAAGTGTGAAGGCATTTTCCCCATCAACCTTATTTATGGCATCGCTTTCTCACTACAGAAAGCGGACTTAAACCTATTCCAAGTGCATGGTACCTCTCTAGAGAAGAGTGAATCTTAAGGTAACTAGTTGGAGGTGTGGTTTTAAAAGAAGAAAAGTCCTAAATTCATTCTTCTTGCATTTTATTCAATCACACATTTCATTTTAAGAAATTATAAACTCCTAAAGGCAGATGAATGTTTTGTGATGTTGTAATGTTACTGAGAAATCCAACCACAGCAGCAATAACAGAAATGCGAATTACACCAAAACCCTCTTTTTTCCAGCATTGGATTGGAGATGTCGAAGTCTGACCACAGTCCCTCATCGCTGACGAGGGTCTTGGAAACTCCAGCCCTGCTGCTGTGTGGGAGCGTTCACCACATAGCAGTTGAGGATGACAGTCTATCACGGTGACAGATTCTTCATAGGGATCCATCTTTTTTCTTTTTTTTTTTTAATTATTTTATTTTATTTTTCCATAAGTTGTTAGGGTACAGGTGGTATTTGGTTACATGAGTGAGTTCTTTGGCGCTGATTTGTGAGATCCTGGTCCACACATCACCTGAGCGGTATACACTGCACCATATATGCTGTCTTTTATCCCTTGCCCCCTCTCCCACCCTTCCTGCCGAGTCCTCTAAGTCCATCGTTTCATTCTTAGGCCTTTGCATCCTCACAGCTTAGCTCCCACATATCAGCGAGAACATACGATGTTCGGGTTTTCCATTCCATAGGCAACCATTGTGATCCAGAGGGCCACTTCTAGTTTATTCAAAAAAGATGATCAGACAAGTCAGAAAAAATGAAGCCGTTTTCATTGCAGCCATTGTTCTATAATCATCTTTAAAATGAAGGAAAGCTACGTCTCAAAACGATCAACATTTTTCTAAATTCAGTTCCACCTTGTTGATCTAACCCAGTGTCGTCCCTCGCCTGATATGCTCACGAGGGCTCTCTCACAGTTGCGTCCAAAATCCCTACCTCCCTTCTCAGCAACAGGCAGGTTCAAGATCGTTGAAAGAACAATGAGGCCAAACCTGGCCTGTCCCCTCTAGTACTGGGCTTTGGCCAGGCTGATCATTTCCCTGTTCCAAGAAACAAGCCAAGTTCCCAGAGCTACAGCACTCCTTCTGTCCGGAAGGCTCCCTCCCTCCCATTCCTAACCAACATGACCCTCCGTTAGGACTTCTGTGATCATGACCTGCCCCAGATCACTCTAGGTCCCATCATGGCTTCATGCCACCTCATCTTGTACCTACAAAGCACTTACACGTTTCATGAAGCCAGGGAACATGTCTCTTTCTTTTGAATCTCCATCCTTCATTTTCTTATTTGTATAAATTCAAGGAGTACAAGTGAAGTTTTGTTACATGGCTACATTGTGTAGTGATGAAGTCTACGCGTTTAGTATAACCATCCCCTGAATAGTGTAGACTGTGCCCGTTGAGTAATTTATCATTCCTCACCCTTCTCACCCTCCCACCCTTCCCAGTTCCAATGTCTATTATTCCACACTGTATGTCTACACATACACTTTATTTTAAGTCTCACCTATGTGAGAACATGTGGCATTTGACTTCCTGTTTCTGAACTGTTTCACTTCACCACCTCCAGTTCCATTAATGTTGCTGCAAAAAACTGGAGTTTCTTCTTTCTTATAGCTAAGTAGTATTCATATGTATATACATATATATCCCACATTTTCTTTATCCAATCATCATTAGTGGACACTTAGAATGATTCCATATCTTTAGATGCTCAAAAATACTCATTGGAACATGGCAAAATCATAGATACCAGGCTCCTTCTTTCTTCCTCTTTCTCTCCCTCCCTTTCTCTCTCTCTCCTCTGCCACTTTTAGCAACAGTGGCATTACAAACAGGAAGAAAGAGGTACAGGTTGAGTGTGTATCCTTCATCCAAAATGCTTGGAACCAGAAGTGTTTTGAATTTCAATTTTTTTTTCAAATTTTGGAATATATGTATTATACTTACTGGTTTAACATTCCTAATCCAAAATCTGAAACGCTCCAATACGCATTTCTTTGAGCATCACATCAGCACTTAAAGTGTTTTGAATTTTGGATTTCAGGTTTTCTCACTAGGCATACTCAGCCTGTATCAGAAGAGGCTCAGCCAAAGCCACTTCCCTGCCTTAAACTGAGCTCCATGGCCATTCTCAGCTCTGAGGGCTCAATCAGATTAAGTTTTTTTTATTTTGCAGGCCCTACAGCAAATAAAGCTGAACAAAGGAGGTTAAACCAAAAACTAAAATATCCACATTCACCTTCCTCTACCCCCCTGCAATGAAAGTGTAAGGACACGAGCAGCTGTTGCCACATTGCTCCCAGTGGCAAAAAAATTGGAACTCAAATAAATGCCTAATGACAGAAGAATGACTAAATAAATTCTGGCTCGTCCACACAGCAACCATTGAAAAGAATGAATTAGAGCCACACTGATGACTTTGGGAGATTTCCATGAACAGTTACGGAGTAAATAAAACCAAATGCAGGGGGGGAAAAAGTCTGTTTTATTATCCCATTTCTAAAAAAGATGAAGAGAAGCACTCTGACATCTGTGCACACACGTGCAGGTTAGCACCAGTAAGCTGACCGTTACAGGCCATCTACTGTTATCATGAGTGAGTGACCTGTGCGGGACGCAGGGAGAGCGTTTGGAAAGGGAAAGAGGAGAAGAAGATCAAAAAACAGAAAATTTTTGAAAAGAAATGTTATGATATGATCCATTAATGTATTAACATAAAGATATATGTGCGTTCATATGTACGAAGAGAAACTTTCTATGTTGTCTCTTCTTTTTTTGTCTCCTAAATCGGACTTGCACGACTTAGGCAATTTCCCACTTGTTTTAAATCCGCAGAAAATGTCATCTCTCCAGAAAGTAAACAAAAATTCACCAGGTACCATTTCCCTAATGGACTTCCAGTGATTGTTCCGGATAAGCAAACAACACTTCTGCATTCCAACCCCCAATTTCCATTTGAATCTCATCAAATGAAATTTGAGTTTTTCTTTCTAGCTTGTCTTTTTCCCTGGAGAAATAAGTCTATAAATGTTTAAAACTGGTGCTACTTCTCATGGTGAATAAAATATTGTTGTGTAGAAAACTGGCTCCAGGAAATTAAAAACCAATATACTTTGAGAACTAAAATAGGATGGAAAAAGTTGCTTTGTCCAGATTGCAATAGCCAGGCAATGAAAAAAAAAAAAAAAAGAATTACTATTATAAAATGAAAATTACAAGAGAGCATTTTTCAGCTTTGTATGAGAAATGCAATGGACCAAGTGAAAAAAATTAACCTTGGGGCTGGGTGCAGTTGCTCATGCCTGTAATCCCAGCATTTTGGGAGTCCAAGACAGGTGGATCACCTGAGGTCAGGAGTTCAAAACCAGCCTAGTCAACACGGCGAAACCCCATCTCTACTAAGAATACAAATGTTAGCAAGGCGCGGTGGCAGGTACCTGTAGTCCCAGCTACTTGGAAAACTGAGGCAGGAGAATCACTTGAACTCAGGAGGCAGAGGTTGCCGTGAGCCAACATCACGCCATTGCACTCCAGCCTGGGCAACAAGAATGAAACTCCATCTCAAAAAAAAAAAAAAGAATAAGAAAAGGAAAAAAAAATTTTTTAAATAACCCTGTACCCTGTGTGTGTTTTAGTCAAGTGGCCATCTCTGCAACTTGCTGCTAATTTGCCTCCTTTGAATTTACCATTCCCGGTGGCAAAATCATTTGCTCAGAATTGTTCTAGTCTTGCCCAGTCACACTTTTCTAATTAATATTCCTCAAGGAATATTCTAACTTTGAACTCATCTCAAAGTTACTTTAATTTTAAAGCTTGACTCAAGATCTTCAATTACTATATCTTAAAAATCTTAAATGTTTTCTGTTTCTGTTATTAACTGTCCTAGGTTAGGGATATTTAAAATAACAGCTGATAATATGTTTTTTAAAAATTGTAAAAATGATTGTTAATGTCCGGCTCTCACTTTTTTAAGAGGACATGGGAGCCTTTAAAAGATGGCTTGCCTGTCTACCTAGAGCTGGTCCCCAGGTCCAGATTTGAGAGTCTGGGCTGGCTGACTGCTGGGTGGCTTTGGTAGGAGCTGGCTCTTCTTCTGGTTCCATTTTTGTCTCCACCCCAGTATCTTGGGTTACCCTGGATAACTACGTGATGCCCGTGTGCATGTGCAGTTGAAGGGCATTTGAGTCTTTCCCCGTGGAAATTTCATAAATGGAATGTGTAGTAAGCCATGCGTGACTTATCACTAAGGAATCTGGGAGAATGTAAAACTTGGATGACAGTGTCTCTTATGGGTCTTTCCTTCTCATATCTCTTGATACAGCACGACTATCTCGAAGTCAGCAAATGGCCAGCAGAGGAGGTCTTTCCATCTGTTCCAGAAAACCCCGTGGCTTGTGCAACCTGGGAAACTTGCCCACAGCCATCCCACAGAGTGAGTCAGCTCTCTGGCTCCCTTATCTCCTGCCTCTTCCCAGACACGACTCCCTGTTTAGGAGCAGACAAAGTTATGGGGAACCAGGGGAGAAGCAGACACTCACCTAATGCACAACCCTGATGAGAATTTACCCAAACCCAAGGAGGTGGAGATGGAACAGAGCTTGAGTCCTCTCCAGGACTGTTAATTGAAGATTTCTGTTGTGATATCGTGTAGAATTTTGACCAGCATTCGCCAAGGAAGAACTGAAAGCAGGATCTGCCCCTCCATACACTGAGAACTGTAGAATATACAAGGCACGTGGAACTTACTTTCTTACGTGTAAAAGCTTGTACGTGCTCATTATCCATCTGTCCTAATGCTTCCCAAACAGTCTTCACTCAAAGCCTCACCAAGACCCAGAGGAGAAAATAAAGGCACAGAGGGGTGGGTGAGTTACTTGCCCAGTCACAACACTGGAAGGGACAGAGTTTTTGTGACAAATCCAGGAAGTTCACCTCTTGGCTATAGGGCTTCTGATTAATGGTGGTTCCTGGGCCAGCGGCATCAAAATCACCCAGGAGCTTGATAGAGATAAAAAGTCACTGGCCTCAACCCACTTACTGAATCAGAAACTCTGGGGAATGGGCCCAGAAATCTTTGTTTGAACAAGCTTGTCAGGTGACTCTCATGCACACTGCAGTTTGAGGAATATTGAACTAGGCTTTTGGAATGAGATTTTTCATTACTGAGTGTTTTAGGGGAATTCTTGGGCAAATATCAGAAGATACCCACTAGAGTCCGTTCTGGGTACAAGTTAATAAGTAGGTTTCCTTTCTGAGGTACTCAGTGCAATAGTCAGATCTGTAAGAACAAAACAGATTTATGAACATACAAATGAAAAATGTATTCGCTCTGTGAAAATAATATTCCCTTTAGAAAAGCGTTCACATAAACTTGGTGATTAATCTGATAGGGTGCAGTCAGGAAGGATCAAGAGTCACCCCACATCTTGCATCTCAGGTCAGCCCACCTACTTCCATCTCTGCTCCCATTCTGGCCCCAACTATGCTCAACTCTCACTCAGAACTCTACAGTGGCTTCCTAACTCAACAATTCTTCTGTTCTGAAACTCATTCAAGATGATCTTCACAGCCAGAGTGATTTTTCTGTGAATCTGAGCTAAGTAAAACCCTTAAAGAATTGCTATTGCTTGCAGGATACGGAACAAAATGACTAACAAGGCCCCTGAGTCAGTGGGGCATGGTCTGCCCATTCCTCCACCCCAAGACACATAGAATGCAATTCTCCATCTCACTGCTTGCCCCAGTCACCCTAGCAATCTCTTATTTTCTCAGAAACACAAAGGTCTGTATGCCTCAGCTACTTTCATATGTTTGTCCCTCTTCTTTAAATGCTTGTCCCCTCATTTCACTGTTTAAGCCATATATACTCTTCAAAATTCAGTTCAAACCTCAATTCGAGAAAACCTTTATGGATTCACCCAAGAGCTTACAGTGTTTGGCATCCCATCAAATATTACCAGGCATGCAAGGAAGGAAAAAATCCCATCATGAAGAGAAAAATCAACAAATCGAAACAGTCCCAGAACTGGCACAGGTGTCAGAATTAACATACAAGGACATGAAAACATTGTTCTAACTGTATTTCGTAAGTTTGAAAACTTAACTAGACACATGAAAGGTATTTTTTTTAAAAACTCCCAAATTGATGGCGTGTGGTGGCTCACACTTGTAATCCCAGAGCTTTGGGAGGCCAGGACTAGAGGACCGCCTTAGCACAGGAGTTTGAAGCTGCAATGAGCTCTGATAGCTCCACTGTACTCCAGCCCGAGGGACACAGTGAGACCCTGTCTCTTAAAAAAAATTTTTTTTAAAAAGATCCAAATTGAAATATCCAAATTGAACTTTTAGTGAACCGGAAGACATAACAATAGAAATTATTCAAAATGAAAAAGAGAAAAAGAATTTAAAAGAAAACCACACACACAAAAAAGCAACAGTGGGTGGTAGGACAATTTTACGTGACATTCATATCTCATGTGTGAAGGGCTCGTTAAGCATATTTGATCTGTGAGTTTATCATTTTATCAAAATTGGAGATGTTTCAGTCATTATTTCTTCAAATATTTTTTTCTGCCCTTCCTGCAACCTCTCTCCTTTAGGGACTCTAGTTACACATATATTATAAGAAATATTGGAAGAAGTCTTCTAGGCAGAAGGAAAGTGAAATAAAAACCAGATGAAAATGAATAAACTGTACTAGAAATTTTAACTATTAAATACATTGGTAAATATATATATTTTAGAATTTAAATCACTTCAAAATATAATTGTTTAGTGAAGAATAATACCAATGTACTATGGAGTTCATAACATATATGAAAGTGAATGCATGACAACAAAACCATAAAGACTGTATAGATAGAAAAAGAGCAGATGGAAGTTTATTATTTAGGCTCCTTATACTGTCAGCGAACCTGTGTAATATGACTTAAAGGTAGACTATGTTAAGTAAAAGATGTTAAACCTTACAACAACTAGTAAAAGAACAAAACAATTTTAGTTACAGCTAAAATTCAACAACAAAAAAGATAAAACAGAATCATAAAAATTCAATTAATTTTTAAAAAGGATAAAATAGATGAAAAGGGTAACACAGAATAAATCTTACAAATAGAAAGCAAATAGCAAAAGGAGATACTTAGACCTAACCATAGTAATAATCCTATTCAGTATAAACGGTTTAAAACACCACAATAAAAAGTCAGAGATTGTCAGATTGAATCCAAAAAACAAGACCTAATAAAAACAAGAAATTCTCATTAAATATAAATAGATAAACTGATTAAAAGTAAAATGTTCAAAAAAGATATACTATGCTAACCCTTCTCAAAAGAAGACTGGAAGGCTGGGTGCAGTGGCTCACATCTGTAATCTCAGCACTTTGGGAGGCCAACGTAGGTGGATGACTTGAGGTCAGGAATTCAAGATCAGCCTGGCCAACATGGTGAAATCCCATCTCTACTAAAAATACAAAAATTCATCAGGCATGGTAATGGGCACTTGTAATCACAGCTACTCAGGAGGCTGATGCAAGAGAATCACTTGAACCTGGGAGGCCGAGGTTGCAGTGAGCCAAGATGACATCACTGCACTCCAGCCTGAGTGACAGAGGAAGACTCTGTCTCACAAAAAAGAGACTTAAATAGCTACATTAATATCAAAGTTGATTTTGGAGTAAAGAATATTGCCAGTGATAAAGAAAGAATTGGAAAGGGCATTATACACTCCTGTATTATTTGAAAAAATTCAAATAATACAATATGTACGTATTCATGCATTTGAACATGTACCTACTTAGTAATTTAAACATTCAATATACTTTTCTTTAGGCTACTCCCTATGCCTACCACCGTTTAGGTATTAAAAAAAAAAAGGGTTGAAGTTGGACACAGCCCTAGACATAGGGGAGCACAATCTATTAGGGAGATAAGACAATAACTTTGTTTTTTAAGCTAATAAAAGATGTGTCAGATGTTAATTGAAAAATGGGAGTTCAGAGAAAAGAGTATTTCTGGCATCATAGCAATTAGGGAAGCTTTCTAGAAGAGAGCTAAACCCCAAGAGTGTGCACAGATCAAGAGAAAGAGGGAGGAAGGAGGGCATTTTATAATAATTGAGAAAATGTTAATTTATGTGGCTGGGTAGGTTTTTACTTTGCTTTATACTTCCTGTATTCTCCATTTTTATTCCTCCTACTCGAGCAGAGAGACCATTTTTGCCTCACTACTGCCAGGCTTTATGGCTTTTGTGGAGAGTGGTTTGGGTGGATGTAGGGGAGCCGCCCTGGTGAAGGGGCTGTGGCTGTGCAGGCGTTCCAGCAACCTACAGAGAAACAGCAAGGCCCAGGCCACATGGACGCTTGCCTGTCTTGGCATCCTTGGAAAGATTGGTGTGCCTTCATGTGGGGCATAAAACAACACATTTGTTACACTCCATTCTGGGACAAGGACCAAGACCAAGTTATCACCTGTGTGGAGAGATGAGAAAGATCAATCAGGCACCAAGCACCACCTTGAGAGTAGATCACTAAGCAGGCCCCACAAACTTCACACACCTCCAGAGTGAGGGGACCCCAAAAGAGACGGAATTCTCAGGGGAATGAGGCCTGAAGTAGATATTAAGTGGAATTATGGGTGATTTTTTTAAAAGCCTACACATCTGAGTTTTGGAGTTGAGATCTGTGTTCGTAACACACATCAACAGCTCAACAGTTAGAGTCATTTTCTGGTAATAACATGATTACTCTTTCTTCTTTCTTAGGTACATTGAAGGAGGTCAGTTTGGAGAACCATGGTGCAGACACTTACTCCCTCCCTTTGTGTTTCAGATAAACTCAGAGCAGGAGAGCAGCAAGGAATAGCACTGAAAGCATGGTGCTTAATCCAACCCCTTACTGGCAGCTGAGACCTGGAAATGAAGTTCATCAGCTATAAAACAGGAATGATAATACCTTATTATGTTGGTGTGATAATAAACAGAGTCAGTATATTGAAGAGCTTGTATGAGTGGCAGACATGGGACATGCTTCCCTCTGGCTGGCCAGCCTGTCATCTTCTCCACCATGTGTCCAGAGAAAACCTTTGCAAATCAACTTCTTGATGAATGATGATGGCTCCAGTGAAATCAGGGGAGGCAGCAAATCATGTTGGTTTGGTTTATAATGCAAGAAGTTACAGAATACAGAGTCCTCAGAACTGAGAATGTGCTAGTTGTGTGAGTATAACAGGATCTTTCTTGGGACTCAGCCAGGATTCAAACTATCAAGGAAAATTGGGGGAGCAGGTGGGGTAGTCAAGTGATTCTATTTGCATGAATAGATTTGTGAGATGATACCTACTTGTCCAGGAACGCTGAGTGGTGCTTATGCTGGGAGGATTGTGATTTGGACACCCTGGGAGATGTCATGCCTGACATCAGCTTTCTCCCAGGTGACAACTGCGCCCTCTGAGGGCTTCTCAGGTGGCAGAGCTCATTGAGTGTAGAAAGAAGAAGTGTGAGGATGATTCATGAGCACGGGGTGGACAGCCTCTGGGGTGGCCAGTGCATTAGCAAGGGAGAGACATTCTGCATTATGCAGGTGTGCGCAAGAACCAAAGAAAATAACTGTCATGAGAAATCTGACCTCATTAATATCCACAGACTAGAGACACTAGGAATCTAAGCTTGAAAAGCATAAGGGAACATAAGGGCTGTGTTCTCTTGCCCTTGGGACACAGCTTTTCATTACATGTTGTACTAATTTAACCATGGTGGAGATCGAAGAGCCCCAGTGATTTCCCAATAAAATGCTCCAGCTGCATAAACTTGCTTGACCTTCAGTAGACGCTCATTCCCTATAATCCACATCTACCGCAGGCTCACATTCTGGACAGAGAGAATCCTTGGTGTGATGGAAGCAAGAGGTCCCCCATGACTTGCCTTTTGCCTGGCATGGAGGCATTGTTTGCCCTGGTGACAAAGGACACATAGCCCTGTCTTTCCTCTGGAGGACACTGGATTCATACTCAGTTCTGAGATTACTTTGCATTAATCAAGACCTCCTAACATGTCTCTATTTTGAAAATGACAAACATGCTGTGATGAGGTTCTCAAGGTCTGGCCACAGCTTTCTCTTAATATGCACGGGACGTGGCAGTGCTCAGCTTCTGTCTTGGCTTCGGTGCTGTGTCGAGACAGGCACAGCAGCAAGTGAGCACACCTCCTGAAGTCCTGTGGCTTTCCCCGTTTTCTTTCTCTGTCCCATCCCCTTCTCTTTTCTTTCCCCTCATCTCCATCCTTTTCTTTCTTTCATTCCTGTCACTGTTTTCCTCTTTGCTTTTGTTCTGTTTCCAATTTTCAAAACACATTTATAAAGAGGGCATCCTCTGAGCCAAAAGGAACAAAACTGTTTGACATTCTTTACTGGTGGCAGGCTGCCGCCTCAAAGGCATTGTAAACACATCACAGACTTTCCCTCCCTAAGGGGACTGCCTAATTCTCAGTTACAGAATGTCATTAGCTCTAATGAGTGCTGGTTTCCCCGCTAGAAAATAGCAACTAACAAATTACAAAATATCAAAATTCATATCAATAAACTGTCTTGTATTTGCAACATGAATGAATTGGGCTATCATAATTGTCAAGGACACAAAAAGCAAAAATAACATACCTGATTAAATGATATTTTCCAATAATTTCTTAATTTAAAATATTCAAGTAGGCAAACAAAAGACTACATTTCCCAGCCTCCATTGCAGTTAGGTTGAGACCATGTGACTGAGTTCTGGCCAGTGAAAAATAGGTGAAAATTATATACTTCCAGGTGTGGTTTTTTTTGCGACAGAGTCTCATTCTGTTGCCCAGGCTGCAAGCTGGAGTGCAGTGGCAAAATCTCGGCTCAATACAACCTCCACCTCCCAAGTTCAAGCAATTCTCCTGCCTCAGCCTCCTCAGTAGCTGAGACTGCAGGTGCACACCACCATGCCTGGCTAATTTTGTATTTTAGTAGATAGGGTGTTTCGCCATGTTGGCCAAGCTGATCTAAAACTCCTGACCTCAGGTGATCTGCCTGCCTCAGCTTCCTAAAGTGCTGGAATCATAGGCATGAGCCACCAAGCCCAGCCTAGGGGTGATCTTTAAAAATATCTCTCACAGGCTTTTTTTACTCCATGCTACAAGATGTAGGAAGATTGCCCAATCCATATTGCATTGTGTGCCAAACATATAATTTTAAATTGTGTTAATATCTTGAGATTTGTACTAATTTAACAATGGTGGAGATGAAAGAGCCCCAGTAATTTCCCAATAAAATGCTCTAGTTGTGTAAAGTTGCTTGACCTTCAGTAGATGCTCATTCCCTGTGGTTCACATCTACTGCAGACTCACATCCTGGACAAGGAGAATCCTCACTGTGACTGAAAAAAGAGGTTTGCAAAACCGTATAACTTATCCTGACTCATACAGTGGAAAATTATAATTCAAGCATCTGCTAAAGCTAATAAAATCTCAGAATAAGACAAAGAAATAAATCTTCATAATCTTGGATTTGGCACTGGATTCTTAGATATGACACCAAAAAGCAACCACAGCAAAAGAAAAAAATAGATAGGAGGATGATCCAAGATGGCCAAATAGGAATAGCTCCAGAGTGCAGTTCCCACCGAGAACGCAGAGGGTGAGTGATCACTGCATTTCCAAATGAATTTTTACTGCCCACAGACCAGGAGATTCCCAGGTGGAAAAGTGCCACAAGTCTCCAGCATGGCTGTTTCAGCTGGTGCAGCGGGTCTCCACACAAAAACTCACACAAATTGGGGTACTGTTTCAACTGGCACCTGGAATGCCAGGGAGACAGAATTGCCCATTCAACTGAAAAAGAGGGGGCTGAAACAGGGAGCCAGGTGATCTGGCTCAGCGGGTCCCACCCCTACAAAAACAAGCAATCTGAAATGCTCTGGATTGAGAGTTTCACAGCAAGCACAGCTGGACCCAGGATCACCCAGCCCTGTGGAGGGAAGGGCGTCCGCCATTACCAAGGCAATCCACCACTACCAAGGCAGTCTGCCATTACTGAGGCAGTCCGCCATTACCGAGGCAGTCTGCCATTACCGAGGCAATCTGCCATTACCGAGGCAGTCCATTATTACAGAGACAGTCTGCCATTATTCAGGTAGACCACCATTACCAAGGCAGTTCTAACTATACCTCTATAAACAAAACCGCAAGGAAGTTCACATAGCAGCTGGGCAGAGCCCACAGCAGCTCAGCAATGCCTCTGTTGGCAGACTGTGACTAGGCTACCTCCTTGTTGGGCAAGGCATCTTTGAAAAAAGGCAGCAGCATGCCAGGAACTTATAAATAAAGCCCCACCAGGACAGAGCACCTGGGGAAGAAAAGGCGGTTATGAGCTCTGCTGCAGCAGACTTAAATGTACCTGCCCAGCAGCTCTGAATGGAACAATGGAGCTCACAGCTTAGCACTTCAGCTCCTATAAGTGATGGACTGTCTCCTCGAGCAGCTCTCCGACCCCCGTATATCCAAAGAGACACCTTATAAGGGAGAGCTCAGGCTGACATATGGCAGGTATCCTTCTGGGACAAAGATAACAGAAGGAGAAACTGGCAGCAACCCTCACTGGTCTGCAGCCGCTGCAGGTGATTCCACAGACAAGCACAGTCTGGAGTGGATCTCCAGCTGTCCTAAAACAGTGGAGCCTGACTGTTAGAAGGAGAACTAAAAAACAGAAAGAAATAACTTCATCATCAACAAAAAGGACATCCGTTCAGAGACCCCATCCAAAAGTCACCAACTACAAAGACCACAGGTAGATAAATCCACAAAGATGGGAAGAAACTAGTGCAAAAAGGATGAAAACACCAAAAACCAGAAAGCTTCTCCTCCTCCAAGGGATCACAACTCCTCACTAGCAAGGGAACAAGGCTGAATTGAGAATGAGTCTGACAAATTGACAGAAACAGGCTTCAGAAAGTGGGTAATAATAAACTTCTCTGAGCTAAAAGAACATATTCTAATCCAATGTAAAGAAAATAATCTTGAAAAAACGTTAGACAAAATGCTAACAAGAAAAAACAGCTTAGAAAAGAATGTAAATGAACTGGTGGAGCTGAAAAATACAACACAATAACTTTGCGAAGCATACACAAGAGTTTCAATACCCGAATCAACCAAACAGAAGAAAGGGTATCAGAGATTGAAAATCAACTCAATGAAATAAATTGAGAAGGCAAAATTAGAGAAAAAAGAATTAAAATAAATGAACAAAGTCTCCAAGACATATGGGATTATGTGAAAAAATCTAATCTACGTTTGATAGATGTACCTGAATGTGACGGAGAGAATGAATTCAAGCTGGGAAACACTCTTCAGGATATTATACAGGAGAATTTCCCCAACCTAGCAAGGCAAGCCACCATTCAAGTCCAGGAAATACAGAGAACACCACAAAGATATTCCTCAAGAAGAGCAACCCCAAGACACATAATTATCAGATTCACCAGGATTGAAATGAAGGAAAAAATGCTAAGGGCAGTCAGAGAGAAAGGTCAGGTTACCCACAAAGGGAAACCCAGCAGACTCACAGCAGATCTCCCAGCAAAAACTCTACAAACCAGAAGAGAGTGGGGACCAATATTCAACAGCCTTAAAGAAAAGAACTTTCAACCAAGAATTTCATAAACAGCCAAACTAGGCTTCATAAGTGAAGGAGAAATAAAATCCTTTATGAACAAGCAATTGCTGAGAGATTTCATCACCACTAGGCCTGCCTTACAAGAGCACCTGAAAGAAGCACTAAACAAGGAAAGGAACAACCAGTCTCAGACACTCCAAAAACTTACCAAATGGGAAAGACCAATGACACAATGAAAAAAAGCATCAACTAACATGCAAAACATCCAGCTAGCAACTAAATGGCAGGATCAAATTCACACACAACGTATTAACCTTAAATGTAAATGGGATAAATGCCCCAATCAAAAGACACAGACTGGCAAATTGGATAAAAAGCCAAAACCCATTGGTGTGCTATATCCAGGAAACCCATCTCACATGCAAGGACACACATAGGCTTAAAATAAAGGGATGGTGGAAGATTTACCAAGCAAATGGAGAGCAAAAAAAAGCAGGAATTGCAATTCTAGTCTCTGATAAAGTATACTTTAAACCAGGCATCCCCACACATTTTACACAGGGGGCCAGTTCACTGTCCCTCAGACTGTTGGAGGGCCGCCACATACTGTGCTCCTCTCACTGACCACCAATGAAAGAGGTGCCCCTTCCTGAAGTGCGGTGGGGGGGGCGGATAAGTGGCCTCAGGAGGACGCATGCAGCCCACGGGCCATAGTTTGGGGACGCCTGCTTTAAACCAACAAAGATCAAAAGATACAAAGAAGGGCATTACATAATGGTAAAAGGGTCAATGCAACAAGAAGGGCTAACGATTCCAAATATATATGCACCCAATACAGGAGCACCCAGATACATAAAGCAAGTTCTTCACAACTTATAAAGAGACTTAGACTCCCACACAATAATAGTGGGAGATTTTAACACTCCACTGTCAATATTAGACAGATTAAC